CTACACAGATCTACACAGATCTACTAACAGATCTCACAGATCTACACAGATCTACAAAGATCTACACAGATCTACACAGATCTACACAGATCTACAAAGATCTACAAAGATCTACACAGATCTACACAGATCTACACAGATCTACAAAGATCTACAAAGATCTACACAGATCTACACAGATCTACACAGATCTACACAGATCTACAAAGATCTACACAGATCTACACAGATCTACACAGATCTACACAGATCTACACAGATCTACACAGATCTACAGAACAAGATCTACACAGATCTACACAGATCTACACAGATCTACACAGATCTATCAACAGATCTACAAAGATCTACAAAGATCTACACAGATCTACACAGATCTACACAGATCTACACAGATCTACACAGATCTACACAGATCTACACAGATCTACAAAGATCTACAAAGATCTACACAGATCTACACAGATCTACACAGATCTACAAAGATCTACACAGATCTACACAGATCTACACACATCTACACAGATCTACAAAGATCTACACAGATCTACACACAGATCTACAGATCTACAAAGATCTACACAGATCTACAGATCTATCTACACAGATCTACACAGATCTACACAGATCTACACAGATCTACACAGATCTACACAGATCTACACAGATCTACACAGATCTACACAGATCCATCAGGCGGTTGAGGGTTGAACAGTCCACATGAGCTTTGTGGATCTGGAGAAGAGTCGACCGTGTCCCTCGTGGTGTCCTGTGGGGGGGCTCTGTGTGACGTGTCCCTCGTGGTGTCCTGTGTGGGGGGCTCTGTGTGACGTGTCCCTCGTGGTGTCCTGTGGGGGGCTCTGTGTGACGTGTCCCTCGTGGTGTCCTGTGGGGGGCGCTCTGTGTGACGTGTCCCTCGTGGTGTCCTGTGGGGGGGGCTCTGTGTGACGTGTCCCTCGTGGTGTCTGTGTGACGTGTCCCTCGTGGTGTCTGTGTGACGTGTCCCTCGTGGCGTCTGTGTGACGTGTCCCTCGTGGTGTCTGTGTGACGTGTCCCTCGTGGTGTCCTGTGGGGGGGCTCTGTGTGACGTGTCCCTCGTGGTGTCCTGTGGGGGGCTCTGTGTGACGTGTCCCTCGTGGTGTCCTGTGGGGGGGCTCTGTGTGACGTGTCCCTCGTGGTGTCCTGTGGGGGGCTCTGTGTGACGTGTCCCTCGTGGTGTCCTGTGGGGGGCTCTGTGTGACGTGTCCCTCGGTGTCCTGTGGGGGGGGCTCTGTGTGACGTGTCCCTCGTGGTGTCCTGTGGGGGGCTCTGTGTGACGTGTCCCTCGTGTGTGTGGGGGGCTCTGTGTGACGTGTCTCGTGTCCTGTGGGGGGGCTCTGTGTGACGTGTCCTGTGGGGGCTCTGTGTGACGTGTCCTGTGGGGGGCTCTGTGTGACATGTCCCTCGTGGTGTCCTGTGGGGGGGCTCTGTGTGACGTGTCCCTCGTGGTGTCCTGTGGGGGGGGGCTCTGTGTGACGTGTCCTGTGGGGGGCTCTGTGTGACGTGTCCCTCGTGGTGTCCTGTGGGGGGGCTCTGTGTGACATGTCCCTCGTGGTGTCCTGTGGGGGGGCTCTGTGTGACGTGTCCCTCGTGTGTGTGGGGGGCTCTGTGTGACGTGTCCTGTGGGGGCTCTGTGTGACTGTCCCTCCGTGTCCTGTGTGGGGGCTCTGTGTGACATGTCCCTCGTGGTGTCCTGTGGGGGGGGCTCTGTGTGACGTGTCCCTCGTGGTGTCCTGTGGGGGGGGCTCTGTGTGACGTGTCCCTCGTGGTGTCCTGTGGGGGCTCTGTGTGACGTGTCCTGTGGGGGGCTCTGTGTGATGTCCCTCGTGGTGTCCTGTCGTGTGTGTCCTGGGGGGCTCTGTGTGACGTGTCCCTCGTGTCCTGTGGGGGGCTCTGTGTGACGTGTCCCTCGTGGTGTCCTGTGGGGGGCTCTGTGTGACGTGTCCCTCGTGTGTGCTCTGTGTGTCCTCGTGGTGTCCTGTGTGGGGGGCTCTGTGTGACGTGTCCCTCGTGTCCTGTGGTGTCTGTGGGGCTCTGTGTGACGTGTCCTGTGGGGGGCTCTGTGTGTGTCTTGTGGGGGGCTCTGTGTGACATGTCCCTCGTGGTGTCCTGTGTGGGGGCTCTGTGTGACGTGTCCCTCGTGGTGTCCTGTGGGGGGCTCTGTGTGACGTGTCCCTCGTGGTGTCCTGTGTGGGGGGCTCTGTGTGACGTGGGGGGCTCTGTGTGACGTGTCCCTCGTGGTGTCCTGTGGGGGGCTCTGTGTGACGTGTCCCTCGTGGTGTCCTGTGGGGGGCTCTGTGTGACGTGTCCCTCGTGGTTCCTGTGGTGGGCTCTGTCTGTGTGACGTGTCCTGGGGGGGGCTCTGTGTGACGTGTCCCTCGTGGTGTCCTGTGGGGGGGCTCTGTGTGACGTGTCCCTCGTGGTGTCCTGTGGGGGGCTCTGTGTGACGTGTCCCTCGTGGTGTCCTGTGGGGGCTCTGTGTGACGTGTCCTGTGGGGGGGCTCTGTGTGACGTGTCCTCGTGGTGTTCCTGTGGGGGGGCTCTGTGTGACGTGTCCCTCGTGGTGTCTGTGTGACGTGTCCCTCGTGGTGTCCTGTGGGGGGGGCTCTGTGTGACGTGTCCCTCGTGGTGTCCTGTGGGGGGGGCTCTGTGTGACGTGTCCCTCGTGGTGTCCTGTGGGGGGCTCTGTGTGACGTGTCCTGTGGGGGGGCTCTGTGTGACGTGTCCCTCGTGGTGTCCTGTGGGGGGGCTCTGTGTGACTGTCCTGTGGGGGGCTCTGTGTGACGTGTCCCTCGTGGTGTCCTGTGGGGTTTTATGGACAGAGGACCAGGACTAAACCAGAGACTGTGTGAAGATGTGGACTGAGAGTCTGGAGGAGCTGGAGGTGTTTCCTCTTTGGACCTTCGGCGGCGACTCGCAGGTGAGTTACGTCCGTTTATAAACCGTCTATGGACTAAACCAGGACCTGCAGCACTGGGGGTTTGCGGCCGAGCGACCGGGACGGAAATCAGCTCCTCCAAATCCGAGGCCACGGTTCTCGAGGTCTTGGTGTGGGTCTGATCCTGGTTCAGACCTGGTTCAGTGTAGGAAGGAAATGCCCATATTTTATCATAAAAAGGTAATAAAACTTATAAATAAAGCTGGTTGGTTGATATTTTTAAATGATTATAACTATATTCTCCATACTATAAACTATATTAGGGGTGTCAAATTATCACGTTAATTGTGATTAATTAATATTTAGCGTGTTATGTTTTTTAATTGTGTTAATCTCATTTTTAATCTCTAACTTTACTGTTGTCTTATTATAAAATCTGTTTTTCTGTGTTGTTAGGACACAGTCGCACTGTGCAGTCCTGCTCCACTCGCTCCCGCAAAGAATTGTCGCCTAATTTTCATTCCCGTTCTCGTCACATCTGTGATAAACCTGCACACGTCTGCACACATAAAAACGTTCATGATTAATCGAAAATCAATCGTTAATTCTTCCGACGATCGATTAAGAACATTTAATCGAATGTCCGTCCCTAATGTGGACGTTCACTTTGTTAAACTCCATCGAACATGGAGAAACAGAAAGTTATTGTCTAACATGTGTGAGATTAGAGCAACGTCTGCAAGTTTAGTTTGTTTAAAATGTTTTTATTAAAGCCAAAATAAAATCTCCAGCACAAATGATGCGTGAGACAAACATGAATCATTTGTATATTTGACTTTACACTTATATTTAGTTTGTGGGACTGAAGTTTATCATCCACCCGCTCGCTCCCACATCCTGCACTCACTGTTCAAGTCTGACAAAAACACAGTGGAACAGAAGTGACGACATCTGGTAAAGTTTGTGAAACAATAAATGACTTTATAAAGTCACTTTTTTGTTCTGTGTCAGACTTTTGATCTGCCACAAAAATGTCATCATGAATTTAAATGAAAATACCTCAAGTTGAGGCTTTTGAGTGAGATTAAAAAAGAGATTAATTAGATTAATTAATTACAGATCATAATTATTTAATCTCTCAATTTTTTTAATCACTTGACAGCACTAAATATAAGTCCAGCCCAAACCTGTAGCTCGTCCTGTGAAATGTTTGTACTGTGTTTTGACTGCGTTGATGTCACATATGTGACACATGTGTGTGTGTGTGTGTGTGTGTGTGTGTTTTTGTGTGTGTGTGTGTGTGTGTGTGTGTGTGTGTGTGTGTGTGTGTGTGTGTGTGTGTGTGTGTGTGTGTGTGTGTGTGTGTGTTGTGTGTGTGTGTGTGTGTTTGTGTGTGTGTGTGTGTGTGTGTGTGTGTGTGTGTGTGTGTGTGTGTGTGTGCACTGTACCACACTATGCCCAGACGTCCGTGGTCTGAATTGTATTTTATATTTGTAACTTACAGAGGGTCACAGCTCCAAATATGAAGTGTGAGTAATTCAACGTTTCTTTTCTGTATTGTCATTTGTTGTCGGTCCCTCGGTTGTGTCCGTGGGTCATTTGCAGGATTTTGTTCGGCGGAAAAAACGCGTGTTTTTTTTTTGCTATGTAACTGTGAATATTTTGTATGTTATTATCGTTAAAGAATTGCGCGGTTACGGACTTATCTACACCGGAAGTCTGACGTTTATCTTTCCCGGTGATTAAACGGCTCAGGGTAAAATAGCGCAGTGGAAAAGTACGACGTAGACAAAGATGACTGAAAACACTGATGATTCTTTCCAAACACAACTTCTGGTGAGTAAATGCGGAGGGGAAAAACTATAACACGATTAAAGGATGTGAACATTTCCTTTTTCTGAATAGGACTGAGTTAACAACACATCATTTTGAAACATAAACTGTAGCAAGAAAACTGAAAGTAAAACACGATTAAACCTGCAGTAGTTGCTGGTGGTTGTTTTTTTGGACTACAGGACTGCAGCAGACGCGGTTTAGGAGTCGAAATGTGCAGGTAAGGACACTTCAGGTTGGACTGCTCCATTATGAAAAATTCGGAGAAGTGATCACATGAGAATGACTCAGAAATGGACACCAGGTCACACGGACAGAGTGACCTGATGTCCCTGTTTCCCTGGGACAGACTCAGTTTTTAGCCTTGTGTCTCTGTTCCTGCAGATTTATACAAAACCACTGATTTGTTCCAGTTTTATACAAGAAATGTTCCAGGTGTCTCTATTTTGACCAATCTGCCAACTGTAAACAGACACATAAACTGTTATTTGTTTAGGGAAAATACAGAAAATCTGCTTAAAAACACAAAGAAAATGTGACTAAACTGACTCACATTTTCCTTACACACTTGTTTCACTATTTTATTATCACCAACACAAACCAGGGAGGTCCTAGTTTTAGTAGGAGCTCAGGGCAGCTGGATCCTCTTGGCCACTGACCTAAACAATTATTCAACAACTGTTAAAAAGACAAATAAAACTGAGAAACAAACAGAGTCTGGTATTGTTAAAGAATAGACAAACATTTAAACAAAACCAAATCTAAAGCTAGATGTTGTTCTTTTTTTTTCTTTTTCTTGTTGATTTACTCACAGTGAAAAGAGGAACCAAAAGTTATTATACTCGAGTATTTCAAAACAAAACAACACCAAGTCAAATGAGACGTCGGGTGTTTCCCTGCTGTGGCTTTTGAACCACTTCAAACAGATCCACGTCCTCAGAGTTTCACCCAGAGCTGATCTACTGCTTCACTCAGTGGAACCTCAGAGATCTGCACATTGTCCACAGTAAAATGTATTTTAATCAAATAAAAGTGAATTAGGACAAATGTAGCAGAATCTCTTAAAGAGGAGGACTGGGAATACAATAAGCCGATCATCTGAAAATGTTTCAGCCTGTGCATTTATTTCTTTAGGCTAATGATCAGCACGACTAACACAATAACACAGGATGTTTATTAAAACTCTGAGTTTTATCGCTGATCCACGTCCGTCCAGCAGCTGTGAACTCTGCTTTGGAGAAGTGTTTTTGGATGTATTTCAGTTCACAAATTCCTTCCTCCAAAGTAAAAGTAAAAGCAGCCTCCAGATTTACAGATTACTTTAACAAGAGACATGCACATGGAGAATATTTTCAGAACAGGTTATTATCAATACTTTGGGACATAATTTGGTTTTGACTCATAAAAACTGATTGAATCTGTTTTGGATCAATAGAACTGGACCAAAGGTAAGATGTGCATGTTTACGATTTGTTTGGGGTTAAACGGAGCATGAACACAAAAAAAAAATATATATATATACACACACACATATATATACACATTTATATATATATATATGTATATACATATATATAAATGTGTATATAAACCAGGACTGTTTGCCTGCAGAACGGATTGTGAAGTCCTCAGACACAATTCTTTGACTTTGATTCTGCCTGGCAACAAGTGACGGCTGAAATGTGATTGGTCAAATATTTATATATATATTATATATATAAATGTGTTTCTCACCTTCCGCGGTGGTCGGTATCTGTAGTCAGTGCGGTCGATGATTTGGCTGAGGAGGTTCAGATGCAGAACAGTAGTGAGGAGTAGTAGCAGTGAGTCTGCTTGGTATATGCCACATTTGATGGACACTTGTGCAAGTGGCTTCCCCTTGGCTTCAAGGGTGGTTTTCCACAACCTGATCGAGTTTGTAATGAACGACTCTTAGAGTCCTGTTGATATTGTACAGCTCCAAGCTCTCAGTGATCCATGTGTGTGGCATTGAGTCAGAGGATTTCTTTAATCAATCCAGGCAGTGCACAGGTTGGTCTTACAGGTTCTGCAGTCGCGGGCGACTGTTCGGTCAACCAGGAGTTGGTGCTTGGCTCCTCTGGTGTTTTTGCCGATGCCCTTCTGTGCTGCACTCATGTATTGATCCATGTGCTGCTTATCTTAGCCGCGATGATGCCTGACATGAGCTTCCATGTTGTGGAGAGACAGGTTATTGGTCGATAGTTGGATGGGACTGCACCCTTTGAAGGATCCTTTAGGATCAGGATCGTACGCCCTTGGGTTAAACATTCAGGGTGAGTCCCATCCCTTAGCAGCTGGTTCATTTGTGCTGCCAGGCGCTCGTGGAGGGCAGTGAGCTTCTTTAGCCAGTACGCATGGATCATGTCAGGGCCTGGTCCAGTTTTTCATACCTGAGACTCTTCCCTGGATGTCTGCCACTGTGATGGTGACTGGATTCTGTTCAGGGAGGTTGCTGTGATCTTCTCTCAGATCCCCCAGCCACTGTGCATCGGTGTTATGTGATGCCTCCCTTTCCCATATGCCTTTCCAGTACCTCTCAGTCTCCAGCCTTGGTGGGTCTGCTCTGGTGTTATTACCCTGCCACTGAGCGTACACTTTCGCCGGTTGTGTTGCGAACAGCCGGTTTATTCGTCTGGCCTCGTTATCTCGTGTGTTCCTCTTTAGGCGGCTGGCCAAGGCTTGGAGCCTTTGTTTGGCAGTTTCGAGTGCTTCAGGTCGGGCATCTGGTTGTACCTCTTGGGCACTTGCTTTTTTATTGCACCTTTCTGGGCCTCTGACAGTTGGCTCACTTCTCTCCTTGCCTCCTTGATTTTCACCTCTAACCGTCTTTTCCATGGTGGGTGTCGTATCTCATGGCTCCACGGTTCCTCTTATAGCCCAACACATCTAGGATCACTGCTGCTGAAGTGTAGATCAGCTCATTGGTTTCAGTGATGGTTGTGGATCACTCTCATCGCTCTCATCGCTCTCATCGCTCTCATCGCTCTCATCGCTCTCAGTGCTGCATTCACATCGTCTAGGAGACTTTCAGATGGTACTTCACTTAGCCTCTGTAACTGGCGTTGGAGTTGCCTTGTGTTCATTCGGGCCTTGATCTTATCTTTCAGGTCAGTCTCTGTCTCGCTCAGCGTGATACTTATTGGGGTTTCGTACCCAGTCTCTGGTTGGGGAGTTGGTGTCAACTCTCCTCTGACCTGGCGTCCTGGCTCCTCTTTGCCGTAGTATTTGTGTTGTACCTCGTCAATCTCTAGTTGTGATGCAGTTGCTGTTTGTGGATAATCAGGAACATGAGTTGATCAGGAACATGAGTTAGGAAAACCGTTCACACTTTGTTCAACCACAGTGGCTCGTGTACAGGATCACCGGCCACAACGTGCAGTAAAGTCAAACATTATGAGACTTTCTGGGCTGACAGTGATCGTTAAATAATCTTATTACATTGATGTATCAGCTGAACTGATATTTGGAAGACAATGTCCGATCCAACAGATTTTCAGTATCTGCGCCGATATCCGATACCAGTATCAGTATCAGTATCAGTATCAGTGCGTCCTTAAATACAACCTTTAGTTTTGTCATATTTAGAAGAGCAGTGTATCAGAGTAAAGCTACTGAGGCTCTGAGTGTCAAATGTGTTCAGTAATGTCAAAATATGTTTCTATAATATAAAAATATGTTTCTTTGTCTTTTCTTAAATGTTTCTAAAACAGAACTTTACATTTCAGATTCTGAAGTCCAGCGTCTCACAAAAGGAGTTTGCACCATGAATACGTCTTTATACACAACATGGAAATGCACCACAGAGTCACTGTTTGTCTGGTAAGATTTTCTTTTGTGGCTTTGGAAGAAGTTATGGAGATTGTTGTAGTAGTAGTAGTAATAGTAGTAGTAGTAGTATTTTATTTCTATAGTGCTTTTCACTGACATTTGTCAAGACACTTTACAGAGCATTATTCAGTCAGTATTATTCAGTATTATTCAGTATTATTCAGTCACTCCATCGCCAGTGATGGTAAACTACTATTGTAGCCACAGCTGCCCTGGGGCAGACTGACAGAAGCGCGGCTGCCGTGCCAATCGGTGCCATCGGTCCCTCTGACCACCACCACTCACACACACCACTTTCATACTAGGCAATGTGGGTGAAGTGTCTTGCTTAAGGACACAACAACAGTTGTTTTTTTTTACAACTGGCGCCCCCTGTGGCTCCTGATTTTCCTGTGGCCTACCATCCAAGTCCAGACCAGACCCTGCTGAGCCTCTGAGATCTGACAGGATCAGGCTTTGACAAACTGGTCTGACCACAAGAGAATTAAAATGAACATAAATCAAGACTGACACACAGACGCACCCTAACCCTTTTATAAACTCAGCAGTTTCCTCTTTGACTTTACTGTTTTCAGTCACATGGGCCACACTTCCCTGTTCCTCCTCCTCATGTGTTGATTTGATCTGGACTCTCGACATATCGCATAAGGATTACATGAGGACAGAAAAGCTTTCACAGACTCTACAGTTGTGCACAGCTTAATTCAAAACTGTGGAATATTTCTGGAATATCAGAACACCTCCGTGGAGAGAACAAACCCACAGGCTTTCATAAACGCCAAATTCCTTTCCTGCTACAACTCGATCCCTCGGTGCAGACACTCCCAGTGTTACATCAAATCAAACACTCCCTCAGACAAATGAAGACAGTCCCCATAATACACTATAGAACATGTTTAAGTTTATAATATACTATAGAACATGTTTAAGTTTATATTACACTATAGAACATGTTTAAGTTTATAATACACTATAGAACATGTTTAAGTTTATAATATACTATAGAACATGTTTAAGTTTATATTACACTATAGAACATGTTTAAGTTTATATTACACTATAGAACATGTTTAAGTTTATAATACACTATAGAACATGTTTAAGTTTATAATACACTATAGAACATGTTTAAGTTTATAATACACTATAAAACATCCATCCATCCATTTTCGTCCGCTTATCCGGGGCCGGGTCATGGGGGCAGCAGCCTAAGCAGGGACTCCCAGACTTCCTTCACCCCAGACACTTCCTCCAGCTCCTCCGGGGGAATCCCAAGGTGTTCCCAGGCCAGCCGAGAGACATAGTCCCTCCAGCGTGTCCTGGGTCTTCCCCGGGGCCTCCTCCTGGTGGGACATGAACACCTCCCGAGGGAGACGTCCAGGAGGCATCCAGAACAGATGCCCGAGCCTCAACTGGCTCCTCTCGACGTGGAGGAGCAGCGGCTCTACTCCGAGCTCCTCCCGTGTGACTGAGCTCCTCACCCTATCTCTAAGGGAGACGCCCAGACACCCTGCGGAGGAAACTCATTTCGAGCGCTTGTATCCGCGATCTCGTCCTTTCGGTCACTACCCAGAGCTCATGACCATAGGTGAGAGTAGGAACGAAGACTGACCGGTAAATCGAGAGCTTCGCCTTTCGACTCAGCTCCTCTTCACCACAACGACCGATACAGCGACCGCATCACTGCAGACGCTGCACCGATCCGCCTGTCAATCTCACGTTCCATCCTCCCCTCACTCGTGAACAAGACCCCGAGATACTTGAACTCCTCCACTTGAGGCCTCAAGTGGAGGAGTATAAAACATTTAAGTTTATATTACACTATAGAACATGTTTAAGGTTATGGTATAGAGTTGGGCGGTAATACAGTATTACAGTTTCCCGCGGTATCAAAAAGTAGCATCAGTATCAGTTTCATCACTGTCATTTAAAAAATCTGCAGTGCATAAAGACCTGATATAATATTATAATTTATTGATAAATAAATGTGTTTTCTCAGCACAAATGAAAGTGTGGATGTATTTTCAGTTTAATTCTATCACTATTTAAAACTAACAGTGTCTATAATGTTTCTTTTAACTGTGTGGGGGAGACGATGTTCGTTTAGTTTTGTTCCTTTGTCACGTGACGCTCATAAGACCAAGACAAGACGACAAGTCCAACCACGAGAGAGTTGGTCCCAAAAAAAAATTAAAAATACTAGTACTTCTACAGTTTGGCAGCATTTTGACTTCAGGACACATTTGTTTATATTTTACAGAAACTAAACATTAAACCACATGACTCATTTACATAAACTAATGTCTCTGATAAAAACAGTTGTTTCCTTGTGTCTGATGTGGTTCAGTTTGTGTTGGACTAAAGGACACAGTGACTCAGTGGAATATGAGTTTTCTCCCTGTGACAGAGGATGTGCTGATGACCGTGTATCTCGTTGGAGACGGTTCATGTGAAACATTTCAGAGTCTGTAGGTCATACACACAGACCGTACAGCGGTGCAGCTTCTTAGCTTCCCAAAGTTGTACTAAAACATTTTGGTAATACCGTATACCCTGGTAAAATCCTGAGAAGCTTTAACACTATCAAAATTATGATGCTGCCGGACCCTAGTGTAGAACATGTGACATGTAACAGAGGAGTTTTAGAGTGACTCCAGTATGATCTAAAATAAAACACTTAATGACTAAACACGGCTTTGTCCTCACATAAATGTGGTAGGCGGGTTTGTTCCAGGTGATGCCCTTTTGAATCATTTCAGCCCTGGAATTGCCCATGTCTGCTGAACTAAAGGGAAAAGGAACTGTTCATTTGGAAACTAGCACTTATGTGGTAGTAACTACCACACGTGTGAATGAAACCCACACAACTCGAGCTCTGTGTGTGAGGAGGAACATTAGAACATGACTCATGCTCAGAGTCAGTTTGTGTGATATGAAGCTCCCGCTCCGGCTCCTGCACCACGTGACTAAATCTGAGGGTGACGCCCATTGGCTGTGGTGGATTATGACTAATGAATGAGTCGCTTTTGGAGGGTTTTTTGCCGTTAAAGGAAATGGTGTGGCTTGACCTGATCTCGTCAGATCTCAGAAGCTCAGCAGGTTCTGGTCTGGACTTGGATGGAGACACTGGGAAAATCAAGAGCCACAGTGGAGCACCAGTCACAACAACTGTCATTGTGTCCTTAGGCAAGACACTTCGCCCACATTGCCCAGTATGAATGTGGTGTGTGTGAGTGATGGTGGTGGTCGGAGGTGCATGTCGGGGTGGGGTTGGGAGGTACATGGCAGGACTGCGTGTCTACCAGTGCAGGAGCTTTAATCAAACGTAAAAGTATCTTCACCCATTGACAGAATCATATCTGTTTTTGTTTTTTTCACAGATCGCTTTAGTGATTGAGGTGACCACAGGACTCACCTGTCATCGAGCTGAGTACCTGATCGGACAGGAGTGTTGTCCCATGTGTCCAGTCGGTATGTGTCTCTTTGTGAACTCCCCTGGGGCTGTGGACCCTCTGGTATCAGGACCTTCATGATACCTGCTTTTCAATACTGGTTCTTTTTTCTGTGCCTGTATTTTTTGTAAGTGTAAATTAATGGCCAGTTTCAGTCCTTGAATTACATTTTAACTATTTTAATTCATATTTTAAACAGAGTAGGCTATTATATGATGTTATATTATAACTCCAAACAAATGTGCAGTAAATCAGGATCAGGATCACTTTAGTTTTACTAAACCTTTATTTCTAAGGCGCAGAGCACATACTCTTCCTTTTGATAAATACCTGTACTCTCTGTTACTTGGACAGAGGAGGATTACACTATGCAAATTTTACACTTGAACATAAATGTGCTGAATTTGTTAAACAAATCAAATATAAACTTCATCAATTATCAATTGAATTTTTTTACTGTGAAAAAATATATATAAAAGAAATTCAGCTGCATTAAATATTCAGAATGTGCTGACAGCCTCTGTGTTTTAACAGGGACTCGAGTGAATAAACACTGCACAGAGTTTCGCAGCACATCGTGTCTCCCCTGTGACAGTGGGACGTACATGGACGAGCCCACAGGGAGGACAGAGTGTCTGCGCTGTAGGATGTGTGCTGCAGGTAAACACGACTTTATCAGTGCTGAAACGAAACAAAGTAAATTAAGAAAGTACTGTACTTAAAGGTGCTTGTGTGACTACAATTTGAAGATATTATACAATATATACATATGTGTATATATATATATATATATATATATATATATATATGTATATATGTGATATATATATATATATGTGTGTGTGTGTGTGTGTGTGTGTGTGTTTATTTAGGACTCTAGTTGTAATGTGTGATATACTGACATCTATAATTAACATTAATAACTGAACTGAAGAACTAAATAAAAAAAGAAGAATTGAAAGAGTAAAGTTGAGTGTTTTGCACCGAGCAGATGGTTTTAGACACTTTGTGGTTTCAGTGCGGAAGTGAACAGTCTTGACTCTGTGGGAGACTTACTGTTATTTACAGAAATACACTTCAACTTTATCACTGTTTGTTTGTGATCGGCTCCACAAACAAACAGTGTGAATAATAAGAGTTTGTGGAGTCTTTTTAGCCGAGAACGATCACGTCTGTGGAGCTGAAACATTTCAACTTTTAAAAACTATTGTGGATAATGGAATTTCACTTTCACTTTTATTCATTCTGACAGAGAAAATGTTGAATTCTCAGTTCTGTGTGGATGGGCAGAGATATAATCATAAGGCAGTGTTCCTCCACTTCTGACTCTGCGTGTGAACCTGAGGACGGGTTCTTCTGTGTGGGGCCGTCAGACGAGGGAAACTGTGAAGCGACTCAGAAACACTCGCTCTGTTCACCTGGAGAATTTATCCAACAACCAGGTGAGTATTAGAACATACACACACTGAGTATAGAATATACTACAATACCACTGTGGAGTCTGGACTCTTGTCTCCATGGAGACGATGCTGGTTTGCCTGGAATGTTCCACTGTGTAATGGGCGTCTGGTGGAGATGAGCAGGAAATGTCAGTCCAGCACAACAGCCGCGCTCACTGTGTCCCTGTGTCCCAAATGCAAATGACTTAAACTAAAGACTTCCTGATTATCTTCACATGTAGAACATCAGTTTGTGGTGGTGCTGTAATATTTATTATGTCTCTTTCAAACACCAAAGTGTGAAGGATTAAGTTTATTTGTGTACTTTATAACATGTGCACTTCTGCATCTTTTTGAGGTGTCCCCTGTCACAGCAGATTTATATAAAAGTAATGATTTGCCTCAATTTCATAAAAGACTGTTATGTCAAGACTCTAAATGTCTCTAGTGTCCCTATTTTTTACCACCTGATCTGATCTGATCCTCACCAACAGTAAATAATGTCATTTATTTCGCTAAATCACAGAAAACTGCTGCAAACAAATGAACGGACAGAATTCCCTCAGATGAAACACTGATCCACGAGAATGAACAATGTCACACTGTGTTCAGTTTTATTTATGAAACATCCCGACCCAGACATGTCCATGTTTGGAATTTAGAAAATGTGGTCACGATGATTTTCACGTTACTCGGCTAAAACCACAGAGGTAAAACTGAGTCTAGCATTTATAAGAACATGTGATATTTTGCGGGGTCGGCATTATCATCAGAAAACCCTCTAGTCAGAAAATCCATGTTCAGGTCGTGTTTTCAGTTTACCACAGATCTTGTAGGGTATTTTCCAAATTTTCACCTCAAAGTTCATAAAGACATACATTTTTTATACGAAATTCCAATTTTGTGAACAAATTGAAAATAAGAGGCCTTGATATTTTTAGCTCAGCTCAAAGTACATGTACTATTTAGGCGTGTCATAAAAATGCTCCTGTTCTGGGTGTCCCGCCTGGTCGTATTGAAAAGGGCCGACTGTAAGGCATTTTTAGCTCATCTTGTGAGCTGTAAACTCAAGCTGAGTTTATGCGATCACCCATTGTCCGGCGTCCATCCGTCCGCCCGTCTGTCTGTCCGTTAACCATGGCTGGACAAATCTAGACTGTTTGACGTACAGAGTCCATATGAATGTCTTTAGATTCCTTAAGGTAATAGCTCTTTCCAATTCTTGAATTATGTCACAGTGACCTATTTTCTGACTAGTGGGCTTTCTGATGATAAGGGTGTAACCTATTTTGCTTTAGTAAATACAGACAATTTAAAAAATCATTCTGAAACCAAAACATAAAGCAGAATTATCTCCTCTAAAAGTACAAAACTGTAAAAAAGATATGCACTGCAATAAATAACAGAATAAACACAGTTTAGTTTGTGTCTGTTGATTCTCTGCAGCTGATGTCATCAACATTCTTTGGGAGTGTGATGCTAACTGTAGGCACTGCTCTGTCTGAGGGTTGTTAGACTTTATTCTGAGCTTTATTTTAACACGGTCTGACCAGAAAGAATTGACTTATCTGAACTCCAACAGGTGATCTGATCTGTGCTGTTAAACACGTCCCTCTAAAACAGGGGTGTCCAAACGTTTTTTCATCAAGGGCCACATATCTAAACACAGACGAAGCAGAGGGACGATTAAGGGCCGTAGACTGGAGCTCAGAACAGGGAATAACTGAAATATGTGCATGTTTAACACGTTAGAATGAACCATCAGTCTTTATTCATGCTAAGATCCTTAAAACCAAACACTAAATATTACATATTCGCTTTATCAAGGTAGATTTTCAAAAAACTTGCAGGAAAAAAATATATTTTTTAATTGATGCAAGGTCATTTGGGCCAATTCACCTGGAAGTCTGAGGGCCAAGAAAAATTTGTCTGAGGGCTGCATTTGGCCCTGGGGCCATAGTTTTGGACATGTCTGCTCTAAAATAAACACTACAGTCACAAACTAGCATTAGCACTAGCATTAGCATTAGAAAACAGTTTTTTGCGTAGTCACTCTCACTTTTTGATCCTGGGGTTTTATTTTCACTATTTTGTCAACAAATACATTTTTTTGTTTCATGAGTTTCATTTGCCCTGAGCTGTGGGCGACGTCGTTTCTGTTTGTGTGTTTCTAAAATAAGCTGTAATAACCTGTAATAACCTGTAATAACCTTTAATAACCTGTAATAACCTGTAATAACCTGTAATAACCTTTAATAACCTGTGTGCGTCCACAGGGAGCTCCTCTGAAAACACTGTCTGCTCTCCGTGTCCTTCTGGAACCTTCTCTAATGGGACTCTGACGGTCTGTCGGCCGCACACACGGTAAAAACACACACATTAAAAACACACACAATAAAAACACATTAAAAATACACACGGTAAAAACATGCACAGTAACGCACATGGTAAAAAACACACGATAAAAACACACGATAAGAATACACACAGTAACACACACGGTAGGCACATGCACTGTAAGAACACACACGATAAAAACACACCACAAACAGTAACAACATACACCACTCACAGGTAAGAACACACATGGTAAGAACACACACAGAGTGCGTACACATGCACATATCCCGGTTATGTCAGTATTTGGGTTACTGCGTTTACATGTGCACTGAGAAACCGGGACACTCATCCACGTGTAGGCGAGTTTGAGCTGACGTCATTGTTATTAAAAGTCCGCGTTGCTGCTGGGAAATATTTTGGTCGGAGGCAAGAAACACGATAGCGTCAAACACAGTGTGTAACCTCGTGTATTTCTCCCTGATAATGGTAAATTCCTGCTGCATTATCAGACGCACAAATAGAAACACGGAAGAAGGAAAATGTCTTTTTCATATTCTGAGTGAAAAGAACCACTAACGGTGAATTAAACGACTTTCAAACATCCACAGAGCAAACGTAGAAGATCCTAACAAACCGTGGACTCAACAAGTTCAACAACACATCCAGACTCTTGGAGGTTTTCATCTTTTCTGCTGTGAATGGCCCAGGAGTTTCCACCAAGTCATTGTGGATGTCGCCCAAGTGAATATTTGTCCAGGGAGTTGGAGATTCTGACCAGAAATGTGGTTTGGTCCAGACTCTGTCAGGGTTGAAAAGGGAGATTTGTCGTCCGTCGATGTTTATGACCAATTTCTGGTCAAATGGTCTTGGGTCGTCTGCTGTTAGACTGGATAAATAACCGGGATCAATACCCTTTACGTGTTTTTCTCGCTCCGTCCGTCATGTTGAATTAGTGTTTCTTGCCGCCGACCAAAATAATTCCCAGCATGCAACGCTTTTGTCAACAATGAAACTCACCTGTACATGATCAAATGGAGTGTCCTGGTTTCTTGACATAATCTTACTAATGCACAAGCGCAAAAATTTACTTAAATCAATTTAATAAACCAGGAAAATTACAAACCGTGAGCTCCTTTAGCAGAGGAAACTCAGGAGGTTGAACCAGCGTGAGGAGCTGTGAGATTCCCACAATAAACCCACATTAAAATCTTCTGCATAAATAAACTCAACTTTACAACATATAAACCAGAACCACTGTCGAGCCACATCAGCAGGTTTGATCATATAATTCAGCTCTGATCACATTTGTTCACGTTTTACAGAAATGAAACTTAAAACCACATCGCTAATTAGCATAAACTGTTAGCGCTGATAAAAACAGCTGCTCCTTGTGTCGCTGATGTGATTCAGCTTCTTTTGGACTAAATGACTCGACTCAGTGGATTATGTGTGTTATTTCTGTGACAGAAGAGGTGCTGATGATGGTGAGTCTGTTCTGTCTGTGTGTTGTACAGGAGATAGTTCATGTTTTAGTTTTTCAGCGTCACACGAGTGCAGATTGTACATGTGCAGGTTTAGTGCAGCTCTTTATTTTACATCATTTCACTCATTTGGTCAATTTATTTATGTTGGTCAATTTATTTATGTTGGTCAATTTATTTATATTGTTACTGTTGCAGTGAAAAGACTGGAAAGTGTTTGTCTTTTGGACGCATGTGACTCAACTTTATCCGCAACAGGATACTGCGTTTACATGCCACAGTGTCCCGGTTACTGTCTGAATAAACCAGCTACACTATCCTGGTTTTTAATAACCGGGACACTGAAACCGGGTTACTGTGTTTACATGCACCATGAAGAAACCGGGAGACTCAAAAAACCCGATCATAACCAGGACACTGATGTGCATGTAAACACACTCACAGTAAAAACACACAGTAAAAACACACACTACACACAGTAAGAACACACACTGTGCAGCCCAGTGCCAAACGAGCCCACGGTCTGGGGGTTGTGTGTCTAGTAAATGTGAAAAAATGGTCAAAAAAGCTTTGAACTTTGAACTTTAGCATGAGCATAATTATGAAATAGTGACTCTCACATTGAGTCTGCGGCCGCTGTTGTGCACAGGACAGATCTAATCACCGTGAGACTTTACACACACAAAAGAGGTCATCAGCACATTGTAGAACCTCTGGAGTTTAACCTGATCTTACGACAGGTGACACAGGAGAGACAGGTGCAGTTTGCTCTGTCCAGATTACAGATTTATTGACCTGGTTTAAGTAATTACTGGGACTTTCCACATGAAACGAAAAACTGGCACAAAGTTCAACATCTTTTCTGTCACGAGAAATTAATTATTATTCAAAACTAAACCCGTGAGTGTTTCAGCTGAAAGGACTTTCAACCAGACAATGAACTTGACGAGTTTGTGGAGCTGATCCCAAACAAAGAATGAGAAGCAGAAACATTTGTGGATCAGAAGTTTGGGGATTTCTTTCAAAAACAGTGACTCTCCCACAGAGTTACACAGGCCCCGGCTCCATCTGAAACTATCTTCACATTATGATTATGATACATTCATATTTCATATTATTATATTATGGACCGTGAACGCAACCTTTAATTTCATAACAGCGCTATTTAGAAGTCAAAATATAATAATGTTTTAAATCACTTAATTCTGAATTAATTGTTCTGAATGAAATAGTTCTGAATTAAAATATTCTTTTTGGAGCTTACATGGAAATAATTCTGAATTGAGGTTTACATACGAGAAAACACGATGACGTCATGTCAGCCATTTTGGTAGGGAAAAAGCGTCTGTATCAACAAATCAACATCAACATCGTCAACAGTTATCGACGAGTATCGTTTTTAATCCTCAACATTCAGTGACTTAAAGATGTTGAAGTCATGTCAAAACAATTAAAAATGCAAAACCTACTTCAAAATAAAATAAGTTATCACATGACAGACGCAACTGTCAACACAAACCAGCCACTGTGCACTTGCGGAAAAGACGAGTGTAAACAAAAACAACATTATCTTAAATGTAAAACACGTTAAATCGTCTTTATTTAATGTGTGTGAGCGTCTGAGGGGAGGTTCTGATTGGACAGAGACACACAGATTTAAACACACACTTGAGCTGCTCCCATCTTTTCTGTCGTCTGGGTTTGTCGTTCTTCCACGGACACAAACACCATCCAAACTTTTTGAACCCGCAGTGGTTCTGATGATAATTGTTGTGCAGCAGCTGGAGAATCGTCTCCATCACACTTTCCATCTGTGAGCTGAAGAGGAGAAGGGAAGAGTGTCGGAGAAGGAGGAGGAGAAGACAAAAGCTCAGCCCACTCCTGCATCCCGCTCACAAATCCAAAGAGACGTGGATCAAAGTCCTGAGACGGGACTGGTGGAGCCGGATCGAAGGACGACACGACGAACATGAAGCACCAACATTATTTTAACAAGAAGAAATGAGAAACATGATCCGGAAACAAATTCATTCAACTTTAAAATCGGAATAAAACAAACACTTAGTTTGGAATGTTATATTCCGAATAATCATTTTCATTAAGAATTAAGTATTTACGTGGTCTTTTTAAAGCAGAAAACATTTTTGTTCAGAATTAAATGATTTTTATTCAGAATTCAAGCTCTCATGGAAACGTGGCGATTGTTCCGGTGGAGTCTGTCTCCTGCTGTTACTGTTTTAGCCAAATAGTAAATAAGGAATTTAAGACTGTCACTCATATCGTGACCAAACTTTACGCAGACGAGTGGATCTGGAGCTGTGTCCACGTCTCCCTGATTTCAGAGGGTTTGATTGACAGTTGAATTGACCAATCAGAGAAACGCATACTCTGTTCACGTCAAAAACAAATATGGTGATTTATGCGTAAAAAGGGGGAAGAATCTAGAATCTAGAATATAAAGGACTGAGAAACGGAGTGATTTTTTTTTTTTCCAGAATCAACAATTGAAGAACCAAATTCTGACTTGTCTCCCTCCAGTCAAAGAAGTGATGTATTTTGTTTGAATGTTACGGGAGTTTTCTAGACGAACTCTTCTGCGCTTGAGAGACGCGTGACACAAATGAGCCTCTGTGGTTGGATCGTCTCAAATTTGGACAGAGGATTTTCAGCTCTGTGGTCCAATTCTTCTAGATTCAAACCCAACGTAAAGGAACTGGCTGCTCAGGAAAGTGTTAAAGTGTTGTTCAGTGAGTGAGGCCCCTCCCCACACATAAGTATAATGCCATACTGCGGAACATTCTAGGCAAAACAATAAAATCACATGGAGACAGCAGATCCAGCAGACTCTCCACCAGAAAAGTTACATAGTGCTTCTTTAATTGTAATCTTGGTCATTTTGGTATCTTTGCATTTTAGTTTTATTTTCCTAGTTAAAGCTGCACAGGTGAACGTTCAAACAGAAATCTGATTACCCACATCAGGTCTTTTCATCATGAATCTGACACAGTAAGTAAAATATAATCTGTGACTGTGCTGTTCCAGGTGTGAGGAGAAGGACAAAGTCACAGCGAAAGATGGAACCTCACAGTCTGATGCTGAATGTGCAGAAAGAAGCAAAACGCCTGTAATCATCAGTGTCTTTGTAGGGATCATGGCTGTAGTGGCTGTAGTGGCTGTAGTGGTTGCAGTGATGTTAAAGAAGAAAAAGAGGAGACCAAAAGACAATGTGACTGTTATGGAGAAGCTGAACGGGGCAAGAGAAAACAATCCAGAGATACTTGAACAAGACAATGCAGCGACACCTGAACTTTAACCAAAAATACAACCAAACTGAACACAGTTTGGTTGTATGAACAGAACTCTGATGAACTATCATCAATAGTCCAGGCAAAGCGTTTTCCATCAGACTAATTGTAATAGTTGTTTTTCATCTTAGATCATTTCTATGTGGTGACCAGAACAACATAGTAAAAGTTCTAAGAAATTCTAATTGAGGAAATATGTTGTATCTCAAATTGATGAAAATTGAATGTGTCAGTACAGCCAGGCAACACACCAATGGGCCTAGTTTTTTTCTTTTACTCCTATCAAAATGAAACTTTACACAATGAAAGAGCCCATGAAATGTAACAGTTTTTGTATTGCAAGTTTCTTTGAAAATGAATTTGATTATGCAAATGAGCTATACACTAATTGAATATAGGCTACCCAAAATCCTACCACAATAAAACCTCACAAAGTGAAAGCACAAATGAAAACATGTCCTCAAGAAATCTGAGGAGGGATTTCATGTAGTGAGACGGAGCAACAGGTATTGGGCTGGACTGTCCACTGATCTCTTTGAGTAGGTGCTCATGAGAAGTGTAAAAACTCATGGAGACTTTACAAGAGGGAAAGGATTTACAGAGACTCAACACTTGGTGGGGGTCGTCTCAATGCCAACATGTGCAAACATCAACAATGCTCTGCAGTCCTTCACGGGGGTTTCATATGAGACCAGCGACCAACATAAAGACCTGTCCAAGAACAAAGGAGGGACAGTGGTAGTGGATCCATCGGTGCTGTTTTTTAGCAGCTTGTAGCAGTGAGAGATCATTGTACAAATGTGCCATCACTGTTCAAGTATGAACTCTGCAGTCATCCGCCTGCTTTGTTCGACTCGTCCTTCCTCCCCCTACAGACAAACAAGGCCATTCTTGCTGATGTCCTCTGGAGCTCTAGTGAGCAGCAGCTGCAAAGGCAGCCCAGTGTACAGCATGTCCTTGATGGTGGTGCATTACTCCATCATGTACCGTGGCCACAAGGGTCCACTTACGACAGTGTGTGTGACATGTACGTAAGATATATCACACAGAAATATGGTACAGCTACTGTCATAGTCTTTGATGGCTACAAATAGAACCAACAATAAAAGACTCCACTCAACCACGTCGAACAGGCATTACTCCCGGTTTGACTGTACACTTTTCTGGTGACATGATCATCCAATCCAAGTTCCTTAATAATAAGGAAAAAAAAACAACAGTGCTTGGTGTGTCTGATGTGATAAACTTGAGTGGACTGGTGTATCGCACAGACCATGGAAAGAATGATGCAGATGTGCTCACTGTCCAAACTGACATTGCCTCTGCCAGAACAACAGTCTTAGGTGATGACACAGAGTTGTTAGTGCTCTTGTTGCATCATGCTGATCTGAATGCACAGGAGCTGTTTCTGGAACCAAAATCATTGGGTCCCAATGTGGACTTAACGCCTTCATCCCAAAAGGACGGTGGCTTTTTCTTTTTTTTTTTTGAGAGAGAGTTTTAGATGGAAGATCTATACTAATAATGACCAATCAGCCAGCAGCACCGCCAGAAATACTAGATGTAGTTTGCAGTGACATTTGCGGAGAATGTTGTGGTACTAGCTGCACAAACTCACAGTCGCCTGATTTATCAGATGAATATGAAGAACTAAGCAAAGAACAAACCAGAAACTGATATAAGGGGCACCAGAACCAAGTGCCACAGAGAGGGAATCGAGGACCCAGGCTTGATTTAGAAAAAAGGAAGGAAAAAACCCTCCCCGTTGCTGCTACCTTGTCGAGGTGGGGAGGCTCGTGTGTCTCTGTAACCTTGAAGACCACAGCAGGGCTTATACCCCAGGCAGTTTTCAGGTTAGAGGCCGGTCTAAAAGCAGCAGTACCATTACCCATTGAAAGAAGACTAAATGGATGAAGACTGAGCTGATGTATTTGAATTTGAATTTATTTGTTTGGAGGATAAGCCCCTTGAGATGTGTCACCATCTCTTTTTCAAGGGGGTCCTCATAAATACAACAACAAAAGACAGATACAGTTGGACAGACAGAAGGAGACAGAAACTCACATAAGCATCAAAACAGCAAAATCAACACAAACACACACACACACACACACAGTCACACTCACTCACACTTGACTGTTTCACACATAATAAAACAAATTTGAAAGAAAAAATAAAATAAAATAATTACAATAATAATAATAAACAGAGTTCAAAGATAGTCACAGGATACAACAAGATAAACAACAAAATTCAACAAAATAATCAAAAACAATGACATGGGTGATGTAAATGTTGAACCAGAGCATTTTTAAATAAAGGGACAGAAGTTAAAGCTCGAATTGATGAGGGAAGATTGTTCCAATCAGAAGCAGCTTTATATTTAAATGAGTATTTTCCAATTTGTTTTTTGACTCTTGGGACGACAAAAAATATCTGATCTGCAAGACGTAAACTATAAGAGGATCTGAATGGAATTAAATACTGTTTAAAATATTCAGGAAAACTGAGATTAATACATTTAAAAATAAATAATAACCAGTGAAGTTGATTTGTCATATGAATGGTGTTCCTATGCAAATGAGTACATATTCAGTAACAGTGGAGCTCACGGGACATATTCAAAGTACATTCAAAATAAACTTGTAATACAAAAAAATGTACTTTCCTTGTGTAAAGTTTCATTTTGACAGGAGTAAAGAAAAAAAAAAATAGCCCCATTGGTGTGTTGCCTGGGTGTGTTGACACAGATTGCATCTCGGATTGATGAGAATTGAACATATTTCCTCAATTAGGATTTCTTAGGACTTTTAGTATGTTGCTCTGGACACCGCATAAAAAAACATCTAAGATGAAAAACAAACTATTACAATTAAGTCTATTTTTGGCTCCAAAATGAGTTACTTTGCCTGGACTTTAAACGATCCATGAGCTTTATGCCCATGCTGTGTATAAGGCTTTTTATAACATGTAAGCATTCCGGTTGAGGTGTAGATGTGATGTACAGATGTGTCTCGATGGTTATGTTTTTGAAAGATTGTATATAAACTGTCCATCTTTGTTACTCTGGGCACATAGCAACTCATTGTTTCATTTCATTTCATTCCTCTTGAAGATTATATCAAGTAATACAGTATCGTGAGTGTGTCACATGCTTATATCAAGTATTGAAATGATATTTGTTTGACTATTACACATTGAGTTGTTTAACCACTGAAGTCTTATGTATGTTTAAAGGCACCACTGTGTGAAACATGTTTGCTTTTAACGTAATCCTTTGCAGATAAAGGTTGTGTCCTTTTAGGAGCAGCAGCAGTGGAGATGGTTCAACCTGGTGCGAAACTAAACAAACTGGTGATTCACATTGGGCTGATGTCAACTCCCTAAACCTAAAGGAACTCAGAGAAACTCCAGGGAAGAGTCAAGGTGTTACCTGTTCAACATATTATTTGCATATTCATATTCAAGTCTATAAAACCTGGGTTAAGTTAGTTCAGGGGCAGTCAGATTGGCTGATATTAAGACCTCTGTCGCCATGGGCAGTTAGGGACAACGATCTGACCACAGCTCTGGATTAGAATTGTATTGTTTAGGGAAATTCTTTTTGATTTTAATCAATCGATTCCAGTGGTTATTTTTAAGAGAACACGCTGAATGATTTTTTGAGGAAAACTAACAGTTTTTTGGTGACCTCCGACGTGATTTAAGTTGATGTTGTGATTTAAAGGTATGTTGTGATTTTTAAGTTAATATTGTAAAGTTGGGTTAGAGTCCCATAAAATGATTGCGCAGACAGAGTAGGACTCCGCACCCTCCACTTGACGGGATTTCTCTCCAAGAGCGGCCGCCACTTTTAAAAGGTAAGCAGAAAACCTGTTGTTCTACGGAACCGAATTTCTGCTATTGGATATATTAAATTGAGGAGAGAAGTACTGCCCAGTGAAGGTATTGATTTATTTTTTGTGTGAATTAATTTTGCTTTGTGTAATTAAGTTGATGCAAACCCAGTTTTTGCGGTGTTTTTTGAGCACTGCTGTTTCAGTGCTGTGTGATGCTTTTAAACCTTTTGCCTTCTGTAGCGCTGGTTTCTGCTTTTTGTTTCCTTAACATTGCAGGTTTGTGTTGTCCAGTACTATTACTCATATCTGCTGCCTGGCAACACTGTTGGTATCTTTAATTTCCTCTCCACTGTTGGAATCCTTTTGTATTATTGCAATATGATAATAATCATTTTACCAAACATGATATGCACCTGAAAATAGTTTAATGTATTTTAATGTCAAATCTATGAAGAATACAGAAGCTCATGTTTTTTTTCTTCCCTTTCCTTTCTAGGCATTTTATTTAATTTTTTTTCTGTTATGTGGATTACACTCTGTTCCAATGTAAAAAAAAAATGTATAAATAAGAAAATAAAATTATAATAATACATAAATTAATGAAACTTGACTGAAATTTCTCAAAGATGTGATTTCTATTCATAAAATCTGAAATCTGTTTAGAAACAACTTTCTCTAAAACTTTGAATAAAAATGGAAGCTTTGAAATGTGAAAATACAATGATAAAATAAGTGTTCCATAGTTCCATTCCCTGTAGAACAAAAAGTGCAGCGTTCCTGATATATAATGATAAAATAATCTTTAAAGAGGGTGGGTGTTGTCTTTGCCTTTGCCTTTTGAAACATGCACCTTAGTCTGGTCCATGGTCTGGTCCGGTCCATGGGTCTAATCTGAGACCACTTTTTTTGGTTTGATTATTGAAATTTCTTTTTTCACAGGACAAGTGATGAACAGATTGAAAATAATGATTCATTTCAATTAGCAGTAACGTAAAATAAGGTTTCGTTTTTGAGAATTTTGCTCTGTGAAAATGATATTTGCCAAGGAGAATGAATAGATTAATGAGTTTTTCAAGTTTTGCATTTTGATGTGTTTAGAGAACAATGTTGGGCAAGTTTCTTCAAAAGTGTAACGTGTATTTATGACGTGTTTCTGTCATTTCAAAGTGATTTGTTACTTTACAATATGACTGTGTTTAAAAAGTAAAACATTACACAAATATTACAGAACTTTAACTCTCACCAAAAGAACCAGATGAAGCCAAGAAGCCGAACTTTTGCACCGTACAAGGACTAAACCAGGACTAAACCAGGTCTAAACCAGGTCTAAACCAGGTCTAAACCAGGACTAAACCAAGGACTAAACCAGGACTAAACCAGGTCTAAACCAGGACTAAACCAAGACTAAACCAGGACTAAACAAGACAAAACCAGGACTGAACCAGAACTGAACCAGAACTGAACCGAAGACTGAACTGAAGACTAGACGAGGACTGGACCGAGGACTAGACGAGGACTAGACCGAGGACTGGACCGAGGACTGGACGAGGACTGGATCGAGGACTGGACCGAGGACTAGACCGAGGACTAGACCGAGGACTAGACCGAGGACTGGACCAGGACTAAACGAGGACTGAAATTTCCCAAACAGAATGAAGAGGTTTACTAAATATTCAGTTTTATATTGTTTATGATGGAAGTGGGTTATTATACTTGAGCAGAACAAATGAATCTGACAGATGTTTTTTTTTTAATTTTAATGATGTTTCTAAATTTAGCCAGAGTTCCTTTGAATATTTACAGTGATAAAAGAGCTGGGGATGGATTTTTCTTCGCTTTGGCAAAAGGTGCAACATGTTTCGATTTCCTTAACTTCAGTTGAGTCTGGGGCCCCTGCTGCGGAGTGAGCACGGAAATGACGTCAGGTCTGATGACTCATGCTGCATTTATGTCCTCTCGGAAAGTCTGAAGCTCCAACTCCAGTCTTCAAACTCCAACTCGGAAATAACGGGAAATGAACGCAGCTCAGGTCGGAATTTGACCTCGGAGACTCGAAGTGTTGGAGTCCGGAGTTTTCATCACCGTGACTCAGAGGAATTCTGTTTTACTTTACACTGATGTTTTTTCCTGCACAAATTAAACACATTCAAGTAAAATATATTTAAAAAAAAGAAACTATTTTCTATTTAATGAAGTAAACTCAGCAACAAAAGCGTCTGAAACGGGCCTCATTAGTTGATCCGCAATTAACCACAAAACTCCGACACAACCATTTTATTTTTATGCACAATTTCACAATGGATCCGCTTCCTCTGGTTTTCGTGATCACATGAATGCAGCTTCCACTTCTCCACGGCGCAGTTTAGCAGGCCTAATGTCATTTTCAGATAATGTTTTGCTCGTTTACGGTCGGGCTCATAGGTAAGTGTCTTTACGCGCCGCTCCGTGCGCCCGGTGCGCGCCCGGAGCCGCGGCGGGGCCCGGTGTCCCCGGTGTCCGCGCTCTGTCCCCGTGTGTCCCTTTGTGTGCGGACTGTGGTCCTTGAGCTGCGCTCTGGTCTCCGCAGGTTTGGGACTCTGTGTGCTGCCCGCGCTCTGCTGCCAACCCAACGAATACAGCAGTCCGGACGGACAGTGCTGCCCCATGTGCCACGAAGGTAAAACCCCCAACCTCTTCCTCCTCCTTCTGTCCTCCTCCTCCTCTTCTCCTCCAGCAGATCTGAGCCGTGTCCCCACCTGAACCCCGGGGCTTCAGGATGAGGAAACTCCGGAAACACCGCGCGCCCCAGACTGACCCCCCGCTGCGGTTTACATTTTTACTGCGATTAAAAAAACTCAGTGACAGAAAAAAGTCCGTCAGTGAAACCGCAGGAAACAAACACGGGCCTCCTGCTGCTTCTGCTGCTGCTGCTGCGCCATCTTAGTGCGTCGTCTCTCCACACACAGGCATTGATCAAACTGGACTTTACTGTTGCAACCATCCGCCCTGACGCTCCATGACACGTTTGAAAAACTTAAATTATTCATCTTTTTGAAGGACACACAACAACACTCATGATCCACAGACAAGAAACACACAATATCCACATTTTACATT